AATGGAGTACTGTATTCAAAGTCTCAAGTTTTACTATGTTAAATTAATTTAAATGAATATGTATATTAATCAAGATTTTTTTTTATTCTAAAACTAATCAAATATTACATACGAGCGAAACATAAATTCACGTTGATTTTTTTTATAAACTCCTGATCTTTTCTTTTTATGTAAATAAAATATAAGTTCAATCTTGAAATCCTTCGATTTGCTTATATTCAAAGATTTTATTCAATCGGTCAATTTGGCATTAATACTTATGATATCCAAAGTGTTATTTTAGAAAAATTTCATAGAGATACAAATATATTAAACCTCTCTCAAGGGAAAATGACTGAATTTTTTATTGTTGATATTTATCACAATATTTTACATCGAGAACCGATATTGATTTAACTTGTTTTTGACCAAAATTAAATTTCTGTGTTTAAACATCGTGAAATACTGTGTCATTAGTTGCCTTGATTGTCTCATTGAATAGTTTTATATAATATTCAATAATATCGATTTATTATTCAATGGTTAGCAATAAGTGATCTATGGGAAATGGGAGTGGGTACTTTACGTATTCTACACCGCACTTTTATCCATATGCGCCATCGACGAAAAAACAGAAAAACTAATAAACAGTATCTACTCATATTAGTTAAAGAATTCATAATTATGCACGTTAAGAGAATTATTACATTTTTTAGATATTTTTCTTAAAAAAAAAGAAGAAAATATAATGTGTCAAGAAAGCTACATTTTATTTTTTTTTCTTCCTCTTGTCAATATGACGATGATCATACTTTTAATTACCATGAGTTTAAGTAATCAGCCAGAAAAAATATTATAAAATCGAGTAAGTGAAAAAGCATGACAGGATGATTCACTTGTACTTTGGTGTTGTTCTTTTTTAACGTATATCTACCAAATGCTGCATACATACACTTTTCTTTTTTTTCTTCTTTCCTTTATGCTTATCATACTATTAATGAGTATAAAGGATAGAAGTGGTCCAAATTACTGAATACGTCAGTACTTTATCAAATGAAGAAATCCAAGGAGAAAAAATGACAAAATATTCGGTTGAAGAAGTTGTATTTGATACTGCTGCGGAAGCTGAAGCATCACTCGGAAATGCGTGGTTAAAACACAGCACAAAAGTTATTATTTGTTATATTACGTGGAGAGTAATCTCGTTTCTCTCTACAAAACTAAAGCAGTCATTTTTTTCTGTCATTTTATATTATACCTTATGAGTAATTTTCATTTTTTTTACTGTTATACTATATAATAAAATATTCATTTATGCATTTTTTCTGCCTGTTATTTTTTCTATTCTACAAGTCAAATATTTTGTTATCCTTTTAATTTCCCAAATGGTCGAAGAAACTAAAAGTAATTATTTTGAATACATTTTTCTTTTAAAATAATTGTAGAAAAAAAAACTTCGATAAAACTTATTTAAACATTTGTCAGTTGATTCTTAAAAGTAAATGAATGAAAGATGTTGTGGAAGATTTTTCTCGTTACATTATTTTGTACTGTTGATTCAATTCTTCTCGGTAAAATAACGAATGGTATGATGATCGGTACTATATATAAATCATTATTTAATATAAATCAAAATCAATGTATATGTGAAATGATACAATCGAATCAATCGATAACTGCATTAAATTATTTTTCAATGAATCAAACTTGTCAATTATTGATCTCTAATATTACTTCAGGTTCAATTCAATTCAGTTTACATACTTCACTGATATTTTTTAATCAAACATTAATATTACCTCAAATTAGTAAGTTTTTATTTTGAAATATTTCATTGTTTAATCTCTTGAATAGAACTTTATAATTAATTGAATAGATAGAAAATAATTTATTTTTATTTTAATATTGTAGTAAATGAACTAACAACAATACCACCAGCAGTTTATGTTGAATATCTATGGTCATTTGATTCGACATACAGTGATACCACATCAACATTTCATGGAATACCAGTAAATAATGCGGGCTTTAGTTCAACAACTATTACAGGTTATGGTTCTAGTCTTTCTCTAAATATAGCATTTAATCAATCGGTGATCATAGACACACCATATCTAAATCTATCTCAACATTCATGGACATTCGAAATATGGGTTTATCCGAATTCATTGTTGGCTTCGAATGATTATCCGATTGTTACTCAATGTCTGACATTGACTACAGACAAATGTCTTCATTTCACATTGCGAAATCAAAAAATGTATTTAGGTTTTTATGGTGATGATCTACAAGGCAACAAAACATTAACGGTATCAAAATGGTCTCATATCACTTATGTCTTCGATAACAGCAGTCGTAATCAGTCTGTTTACTTGAATGGTGTATTCGATAGTAGTCGACAATCAAGCGGATATTATGTGGGTGCTCCGACAGGTTTGATGATTGGAAGAAGAAATGATACGCTTTATAGATTTTTTGATGGATTCATCGATCAACTTCATTATACTAATCGAGCAAAAACATCAAGTGAAATTCTTGATGATGCTACTCTAACATTTTATTTTTCGTTTGATAACGGATCAATTTATGATAGTGGTCCACTTAACATAAATGGATCTATTTTTGGTTCGACAAGTTTTGTTACTGGACATATAGGTGATGCTCTACAATTGGGTTTATCTTTCGAATCTTATTTTTATATACCGAGGTTGGTACTCTTGGGAACTTCTAATCAACCCTATTCGATGTCAATTTGGATTAAGCCAGCTGTAATTAATAGTTCTTCTATAATACATGTGTCGTCCGGAAACAATGGTAGTGGTTACTGGTGTCTTGGAATGCTTGATCTGAGTTCATCAGGCCAATTAATTGCATCATCCTATGGAAACAGCTCGATCTCTATCAATGGACCTACGTTATTACAGAATAATTGGAGTCATATAGCAATAACCTACAGTTTAACTAATGGACTTCGTCTTTATGTCAATGGGACACTGGTAAACTCGACAACTCCATTTTCATATGTTGCCAGTGGCGTTCCAAGCTTTATGTTTTTGGGAAATCCCCTTGCCGGCACCACGTGTAATGGTGCACAGAATCAATTTTTTGGCGCTCTCGATGAATTTCGACTTTATTCGAGAGAACTAACGACTTCTGATATTTTAACATTATCTAACCTTTGATTTTGATTATTAAATAAATCTTATTTCACTCAACTTTAATTAACGATTGATATTTTTATCATATTGTCATTAAAATTCGTAAGGAAAGTAGTGTATGTGTAGTTGAAGCAATGTTAAATCTTCAGGATAGATAGAAATATACGACAATCAAACGATTGACTGATTTATGTATAAAACGAATCTTGAATTCAATTTAGGTGTGGGTTTAAATACAACCGAACTGTCAAGGTAATACCCACACCCTCAAAAAGAAAACGTTCGCCCAATGTTTGTATTACACAAGACAAACAAAAATTTTATTACTGGAATATAAATGATTACAAACAGTGTTACAGTACAATAACAAGATGCTTAAATATAATATAATCAAAATACTGACAAATCTGTATTATTAATGAAAATAAGAAGCTTATTTGCATAAAAGTGTATTTTTCACTTCATTTCGAAAGGTTTTTGATACAAGTATATTGGTGTAACATCCAATACAAGTAGGAATGAAATAAATGAAGATACTGGCAGTTGAAATCAGAATTTCAATTTGACTTTGAACAGGGCTTTTCACATTGTATTGAGTTGTTTGTTGGTATATGAGAAAAATTGGGAACATCCATCCGAAAATCATATAAACACAAATATCAATAAGAAGAATCAAGACAAGTTGACGATCTTTTGCTTGAATAGGATGTGAATCGTTTCCCGCTGCTATTCCAGTTGTTGATACAACAGGAGCAATTCTTCTTTGACTCATGGTTCGGATATTCTTGATAGACCAGAGACCAAACATGATTAGTAAAAAGGGAACAAGAATTCCTTGAGTTATAAATGTGTAGTAACCGGTGAACATGAAATATGCACCTAATTGAAAATAACAAATAAAATAATTTGGTGCTTCTTCTATAATACCGCCGAAAACTAATGCATGTATATGAACTATTATCCAAAATAAAGTTCCCATAATGACACAGGTCAAGGCAAGCCGAAAAGTACTGCGTTGACGTGTTCGAGCATTCGATGAAGTAATCAATACTCGATCGATTGAAGCCAAAATCAAATAAAATGGACTTAATGTATCCAACACAAATGTTGCATAAACGGTGAACCGACAAAATGGTAAATTGTAAGTGGCAGGAACAATATTATAACCATATTGTAATATTGTTATCAAGACTGATATATAGATTAATACCAGATTGGAAATACTCATTGCTGCAAAATAGATTGAACATGGACTTTTGCGAAGATTCTTTTTGGTAAATACAATCAAACTGAGTGTACAACTTACAGAGCCCAGGACAACTAAAATTGGACCACCAAATTGATATAATGATTTCTGGATTAATAATAGTTTACTAATGAAATCATAGTCTGAAGACATAATGATGGATCTATCAACAAAATTTTTCACCGAATGACAGAATGTTCAAGATAGATTCATTATCGAATAATAAAGATTAAAAATTCAATTATAAGGATATATACTTTCTTATCAGAGGAAATTAAAAAATAAAAATCCGATCAGCATTATGAAGGTGAAAATAATTTATAATCTACTTTTGTGCAAAACAGAAGAACTTGTTTTAATTGACTATTGACGTCATAAAAACAATATTTATAGTTCAACTAGTCGGATGAAAAAAAGTAGGTTATCTTTTTATAATGAAAAAAAATCATTTAAAATTAAAAAAAGTATTTGTTGATGTTTTACGTTATTTTAATACCATCAAACAAAGAGTTGTTGAATTTTAATAAACAAAATATGAATTTCTGCTCAAAATATTTTTGAGAGTGTGAATGTAAGAACATTATAGCACCCACACCCAAATAACTGAGGAATAATGAATTAAAGCTATCTAAAAATGGTTTTTCATGAATTAATGGAAAATAATTAGTCATTTTTGCATTATTTTTAATTATTCGGTTACATAGAAATAGAGTTCTAGTTTTCTGTTTTTTTTTGGTTAATCGTAAATGGTAAGATCCGAAATAATGCTTAATAAGAATTACATGGCCGGAAGTGTCCATAAACTCACTCTATCTGTAGAAATCTCAAAAATTTGATATTTGCTACACTATGATGATATCACTCAAAAATCCGTAAAATATATGGAGAAAACAATCCCTCAGATCTTCTATAAAATATGATAGAGTCGACGCCATCACTTTTGGTATACCGTAAGTATATTATATTGTACGAATTCATTCATCACAAAATTTCATAATCAGAGTAAATCCTAGTTGTGAGCAACAGACTACGAATGTTCGTGAAATTCAAAACGATTTCAATTGAAATGTCTATAAAGCTTCTATACCAGCAAACATTCCTATCTTTACAAAAGAAAAAAGAAGACAGTCAATTTTTTTATTTAATTGTTTTTTCCATCTTTCATGGCAGCAGTCACTTTTCCCGATATGAAATCAATCCAGCTCGTTGGCATTATTCCAAACAGCCAAATAAGAATAGCATGAGGCCAATATGGTACAATAATATGTGCGGCACCGACATGATCACATACGGCTGTTGCGAACATAGCCGATGTTGGTCTTAAAAATGATTGTGCAGCACGATTACTCGAAGATATAACTGAGCCAGCTAAGTGAAGTTCAACTCGCATTCCTGGTGGTGCTTCTCGACGAAGTGATTCAGATAGACTATGTTGAAATGATTTGCTACTTGCATATACGGAAAGAATACCCGGTGGATGAATACCTGCATAAGAGCCAATGGTAATGATCAGAGACTGTTTTTGACGTTTGAGACAAGATAGAATAATTCGATTCAGATGCGTGACAAATGAAATGTTCAATCGAAGTACTGAATCAATATTTTCTAATGAGAGTTCATCGAGTGTTTGAAAGTCATTGGCAATAGATACATTATTAATTAAAATACCAATTTCCAACGGCTGAAGTTCTTGTTTCATCCTATCTATATCATTTCTGGAGAAGTTCGATCCATCCATAACGAAGATTTTCGTTTCTCCCTTTAATTCTTTGGCTACGGTTTCCAGTTTTGCTCGATTTCGTCCATGAAGAATAACTTTAAATCCTCGAGAAGATAATTCAAGAGCAATAGCTTTTCCAATACCATCTGATGCTCCTGTTACTAAAGCCCAAATGTTATCCGAATGGTATTGCATTAGAGATGAACGACGTTTATACATTAGTATTGTATAAATAATACGTATAAGTGCATTACCGAAGACAAATATCCCGATCAGGGCAAATACATTACATATAAATGACATCGATTTTTGAGTGTGTAATAGGAAAAAGTACGTTACGTATATCTAAATAGAGATATAATCATGAAAATTCTGAGAAGGAGAATCTTAATTAAATAGTCATCAATATCACTGTTGATATTTTTCGAATAGAAATATACATGAATGAGACAAAGAAGATAAACAATCTATATTTGTATCATGTACGAAAAAAAACTACTCTAGATAGCTAAATAATAAAGATGAGAAAAACACATTTTTCTATATGAAAAACTTACGTGTGTGTGATGCGTTTGTTATTCTTTTTTTCTTTTCTTTCTCCGTTCTCGTCGTTTTGATTCAGCGCAAGAGGAAAAAATGTATTTTGTCATACTCTTCGTACTTCTTCGTACGCAAATTTAAATGTTGTGAAAGAACAAGCGTCATGTCGAATGACAACCACTAGTATTTAGATGTCGCTTGTGCTTATATGCGATGGCTACAAGTCAATGCATTTCTATTTTACTTTAGACCTGTTTTCTAATTGAAATCAAACTTCTGACCTGATCCATATTAAATATAGCAAAATTTATTTGGTAACTATGAATTGTTGAATTTTGATCTTCAACATATCGTTGGCTAAACTCGAAAAAAATACTTCATTCTATTATTTTCCGTCACTAAACATCAAATAACTTTTTCCTATAGAGACAGACATCATGATCAAAATATGTTTTTGATCTAACTACACATCGTCAGACTATATTTTTTGCCTATGCACTTCAGCATATAATTATATGGTTTTTTTTATATAGAAGTACATATACTGCCTCGAGTTACGTTTGACTTATCAGTTTATTTATTACGAAACGAATGTACTTTAAATGATTATCTTCGTAAATATTGTATTAAATTCAGCAAGCAATTGAGTAATTCTAATGAAAAGCATCGGTATCTTGTTAGCTTTAATGCATATCTTAGGAATAAATCATTCCAAAGGACTTGGTACCATAATATAGGAATGAAAAAGAATAATATTAAGTTTCTAAATTACCGATCTCGAAGAGTTCTAACATATATTTTATATGCATATATTCACTAAATACTCAGAATTTCAATATATACAATGTAAATTAATTTTATTACTTCACGTTTGCATTATATCCGAAACCATCTCTTTTACCTTCGTATTTCTCATAAGTCTCTTTTAAATATAAATATACATAGCCATTTCATTAAAGTATACATTCTCTTATCTTTTCCACACTGTATCGAAATTTACAAATTGAAAGAGACCATTTGTCAACACCTATGTTACTGTATCACCTTTTTGTTTTTCCTTCGGTTATTGTTAATACTGTTCATTTACTCAAATTATCAATCTAAATATACAGAGGCAATAAAAAGAAATGACAGCTGAAGTCTAGTTGCTTTAGAATTGGTACATGTCGAATTTCATTGAGGATGTGAGTGCATCTGCTCTAAACTCTCACCTCCATCCACATCCTGTTTTACGAATGTAACTTTTACTTATTACTTCTTTACAAAACAAAATTTCAACCAGTTAAAAGTACCAGCTGTGAAAATAATTTTTTCAAGATAAAATAAATTACACATACAATCTCATCTAGTTTTACGAACAAAAAAACAAGCAAATATTCTTTCTCTTATTTGAAGAAGAATCACATACAATCAGAATCAAATTATTACATAGAAAAGTCATCAATAAAATTTAATGTTTTCTCATCATAAAAACCATCTGACGCAGTTAAAAAAATGAAGAAAAAAAATTATATTTGCTGTTATATTATCACAAATGGTTTTATTTATAAGTAACAGTATTTCAACGAAATTGTAAAATATATTAAGAGTTTCTTCTCGAAATCATGGCAATATATTTATTATTAATTTTATTATTGTTCTCATGTCAACATATGAATATTCTAGCAGAAAATTCTGCTCTTTGTTTTATAATGAAATATCCGACATATCAAAATTTTTCGTTCGTCCAAGAATTAACTGAAGATGCAAAAAAATATCATCTTGATATATTTATGATGATTGATGATAATAGATTGAATTTATCTAAAATTAGTACTAAATATGATTTTCGATTACTTCGAATTGAAAACAATCAATCTCGTTACTATGGATATCAAAAATCGATCGAACTCGGTGATAATGAACGAGAAATTACCTCGTGGGATAAAGCTCTTCTCTATTTTACTGTATTAAATAAAAATTATTCATTTGTTTGGCTAATTGAAAATGATGTTTTCATTCCAAGTGTACAAGCATTTCGTTCATTACATCAACTTTATTTTAATACTAGTGATCTGATTGTTCCGAATAGTACAGTTAATTTAATAGGTAAAACATCCACTTGGCATTGGTCAATGGCTGCTGATAAACTTATTTTACCTTGGGCTTCTTCAATGGTTAATGTAGTAGGTTTAAGTCAACGAATGCTTGTAGCTATTGCTGATTATGTCCGATGGTTGGGTGAAGTACCATATCATGAATTCTTTTTTCATTCATTAGCTATACATTTAAATTTCACAATGGTTGTACCAACTGAGTTAAGTGCTTTTTTTTACAGAAGGCACTACTCGGACGAAGAAGTACTAAGACAACCTAATAATCTTTGGCATTCGTTTAAGGATCGAGTCAGACAATCAACTATGCGCAAAAGGTTTGTATTTTAATATTGTTTCACACTATCAAATAAACATAATAAGAGATTTTTATATAGATTAGGTGATTACATATCACAAAATAACTATACCATTGATTTAACCGATCTCGATATGTTATGTCATAAGAATGAGAATATGACAAAAATCGAACAATATTTGAAAAATTTTCAAAGTCAATTTGAAATACAAAAAAGTAAATTCTCAACAAATGATCGTGTATTATTACGCCAAAGATTTATTAATCTTACTGAACAATGTCAAAAACAAAATGTATCGAAACAAATTATTTTATTAATAATGACACTTGCTGATCATGCTTATAAATTGCCTGAACGTATGTTATAAGTAAATCTAAAGAAAATTGTTTCTTTTATTTTATCATAACTTAGCTTCCGTAAAATCATTGATAAACAATAAAAGTGAACTTCATCTGAGATTAGAGAGATTATTAGCAGAAAATAAAGCAACAATAATGCAACTACCATTGAATTCTTCTCGTCTTGTTGAACTACGACAACAAGGAAAAAATATAACGAAACAATTAACAAATGAAATGAAACGTGAAATTCAAATGGAAAAGGGATTTGGTAAAACTTGACAAAAATATTCTACTTATAATTTTTTAATTAATTCTGTTGTTTTATCTATTTCTTTTTCAGAAAAACAGACTAATTTATCATCATCATCAATAGCATCTTCTTCTCCACAGACTGGAAATACCACTACTAGTACTATGATTTCTCGTTTATTAATTACTAATGAGGCCACAATTATCAAGAAACCAAAAATATCATATATATTAACTCATTCAGACGACTATGAAATATCTAATTCCTATAAAGATTACTCGAAAATATTATTTTTTATACTGTCTGGTTTTTGTGTATTATTTATTCTTCTTCAATGGCAAGTTGTACAAGATCGAAAAAATTATCTCGTAATCATTGTTACATTATCATTATTAGCTTGTTGGTATTTTGTATGAAACTATGTGAATATATCATAATAAGTGCAAGAAATATAGTCTATTAATCGACAAAAAAAGCTTATCTAAAGTGTGAATCGAAGATCTTTGATAAACGTTCAATATTATTTAATTTCTTCTTTATTGTATTGTTTTGTTTACAATATCTTGTAGGATTAGTTTTGATATGATGCCATTCATTTTTAAGTTCGAAAAAAATATTACTAACATACTTTATGTAATTATTTGTTGGTCTGTCACTAGTGTGTTCAATAAAATTATTCTATTGTTATTTTTAGATCCGCTTAAAATGTCTCTAATTAAAAATGAACATGAATATGAAAGTTAGTTGATGTTTTGTTGTTCGTATTTAAATAAAAGAGAACCGTAATTTACATCTTTTCTTCAAAGGCATGTGCGACAAATAAATTAATATTAGTTTCCTGAGTGTGATAATTTAAAATTCAAAGGATACTTGCTTTACAGGCGCATTATCTTCGGAAAATGTTAAGAGACTGAAATAGTTTGAATAGAAAACAAGAGCTACTCCATGTAAATTCTACTAGACTTCAATATAATCAGAATTCTAGGAACATGTTTTTACTGAGAAAAATCAAACCAACTCGGATGCCATTCCTATGTCTGAGACAGTGTGGGTTTGTGGGTGTGTTATTTCTAAACATCCACACCCTATTCCTAAAAATAACGAAGGGCTTTGCAGTTGTCATGGATTAGAGAGCACACTTTCATTTCATCTATTGTGAATTGTTTGTTACTAGAATATTCTAGATAAAAAATACACTATTTTTCTCATGATATAAATAATGCAAATTTTTAGTTTATAAACGGCGTTCATCAAGAGAGTGAATTAGTTCAGTCATGCAGAGCCTTTCAAACTATGAACATTTCTGTATTCTCTTTTATTTGGAAATAGTAAAGTATATAAAATACCATCGAATCCGTTCACTTTCTCGAAGACATTTCATAATTTTCTTATCTTCTTTATCAAAAGATACCAATTCAAAAATCATGAATATTCCATCTTGGTATATTCTTCTCGATATTATAAGTATGGTATGCGTTATTGCGGCTTTCATATTAGCTACAATATTTTTGTTTATTATCGTACGTGAAAAAACATGCCATACAGTTCCCATGATGCTTATTGCTAACTCATGTTTAGCTGAACTGATTTTTGCAAGTAATTTAACTGGAATGGCCGCATTTGCACTTGGAAATGATATTAAACAAAGTCTAGATCAAGATTCACTTTGTATCTTTCGTGGTTATATGACTTGTGTTGCGTACAATTTACAAAATTATTCTTATTTACTACAAGCAATGCATCGATATGTAGCCGTTTTCTATCCGACTCGTTTGTATTATCAATCAGTACGATTTCAAATTGCAATGATTTTTTTAACATGGATTTTTGGAATTATATGTCCTATTCCAATTGTATTGACTGGTCAAATCAAGTACGATGTTGACAATCAAATATGTGCAATGCCTCTTGGTTTTTCATTCGTTCTTATTCTATTTGTATTTTATGCTTACTTGATACCTATAGGAGGAATTGTGTTTATTTATTTAAAATTACTTCGATATGTAAAAGAGATTCATAAACGTGTGATACCTGTTAATACTTTAGCACGTGCACAAAGAGAATTAAAAATGGTTCAACGAGTTGTTATACTCGTATCAATTCTCGTCGCACTTGGTATTCCCTACATAGTCTTTCTTGTAATGTCGTTTTTCACTAGCGCACCCGAATATTATTCTCGTATTGCATATACATTTGCTGATATCTCTGTAATGTCTGTGATGATCGCTTTATTTCAATTTACCGATCCAATTAAGACATATATCATGAGAACAATCAATCGGCGACCAAATACAGTCTTTGCAATACCGACATAAATGTCTGAAACTAAACAGAAATATGGATAACTTATTTTATGTTGTATCATATTTTCATTATGTCAGTCGAAATTTGATTAAATTTTATCTTGACAATTAATGTAAATTACATGTAGTAGCTTTTCAGATTTTGCTTAATGAAGGTATGGGTATGAGATAGATATAATACACCCACATCCTCTTTTCTTCATGTCAAAGTGTCATATGTATCTTTTGTTAATAAACCTCATTTATTATTTCCGAAGGTATATATTTATTTGTTTGTATTCGATTAAAATCATAGATTTAATAAGCAAATGAACAATAAAATTCTTGATTTTTTCTAAAGTATTAAATATAGAATTGAAGATTGTCACTGTAGGTGAGTGAAATAGAATGCTCACACTCTCAACCATTAACATCCACCAGTGGAAACGTTTGAATAATTAAATATTATTGGAGAACACAGGATCTCTGTTTTTGCATTGTACAAAAAATTTCGAATAGAGCCGCTTTCATAATAAGCAGTAATATTTCCACTACTGGCAACTGAAAATGACGAATTTGACTTGAGATACGCTGTGATAATTCCACCACTTGTAATCGAGAACTTTGCGCCTGATTCGAGATATGCCATAATATTTCCGCCACCTGTTATTGTAAAAGTTGCACCTGATTGGACATAAGCTGTAATATTTTCACCACTTGTAGCTTGAAATTTTCCACCTGATTCAATATAAACTGTTATATCCTGGGCACTGTTCGTTGAGAAATTAGCATTTGACTCAATAAAAACTGTTATATTGTTTGAAACAGTTGATCGGAATGCGACACCGTGTTTTAGATATAATCTTTCTATGTTATTCACAGTAATACTTGTAGTAACATTGATGCAATTCCATATATTTCCAAACGAAGGAATAATTGCACTACATGATGAACTTCCCGTAGTTGTTGACGACGAATTTATCCCTAGAAATAAAAATAAAAATCAAACTTAAGCAAAACTTTTCAAGAAAGATTTTCTACTACGAATGTTAGCCTATGTTAAGAATAGTGTATATTGGTTTTTTTGAAATTTATGCTTTATCAAAACTACACACTTGAATTGATTACAAACGAGATGATAAAGTGATCGGTTTTTACCGATTTCGAAAAATACTTAAACCACTCCGACCAGACTGAGTCAGTCTCATATTAATAGATCGTTTTCAACTCTGCTTTTAAAAGGATGAATGTGGGTGACCTGCATATACTACTTGCTCGCCTCATTCTATTGAACTATTTCAATATTATTGATACAAATTTACCTGTACGTCCGAAAATAACCATTTTATTATGCTGAATCAGTTGTCCAATATGTATTGGTTCACCAAATAGAGAACATACATGAGTCATTCGATTAAATGATGCTGTTCCACATAGTGAACGCTGTATACACTGACCTGCACATTGGCTACTACTTCGTACTAAAATGTAACCGATAATGGAAAGATTAGTTGATGCTTGATATTCAACGTTAGCGAAGACATTCAGTTTTTCTGTTATTATATGCCCATTAATGTGATTATCATTATTAGGAATGATTAATAACGATAGAATAATGAATACTCGAAAAAGACGAACGTTTTTAACTGTTGTCATCATTTTGAGAAAAATAAATTTTATGAAAACTATATACTCTTATATAGTTTTAGTCGTATATTTGATTTAACGATAAGATCAATAATAGAATATAGATGATGTTGACAAAAATATTCTTATATTTACTTTAGCTCGTTGATAATGATTTTTTCTCGCTTTCGGAGTCTGCTATCGATAAGTTTATATTTGTTCTCGTTGTCGTTTCCGAATAATTAGTTTTTCTATTTACGTTTCGAGAAAAAAACTTTTGCTCGTCTCCTTGGGTGAGAATACAAACCAGTCAGAACTACTACTTGGATGTGAGTGTGGACTCTATGCTCACCTCACACACGTGGCCTCGCCCACATCACACTCATACCTATCCTTTGAACGAAAAGAAAAACACTTTCTATGTTAATAGATCTCATTTATTAATTCTGTAGTTATATATATTTTCTTTTTGTGTTCGATCAAAATGATAGATTTAATAAGCGAATGAACGATAGAGTTCTTCCTTTTTTTCTGCTTCTTCGAGAGTATTAAATACAGGATTGAATCGTAACCATTTGCGTGTTCGAAGTGGCACTTGTTCTAATATTTCTTGTGCAACACGTATTTGAACTTCTGGTCGAAATAACCATCGTCGACTATATCCAAGAACGACCATAGGACGTGGTTCATCGGTTTTGTTAGGTGTTCCTCGATGTATATGTCGAACATCTCGAATAAGAATATCACCTCGCTTCATTAGCACTTGTTCCAAACATATTTCGCCTGATTGAATGCGACGAAGAGCATCATCTTTACCTAATAAATGCGTTGATGGTGCCATTTCTAGTGGTCCATTTTCTGAATGGCAATCAACAAGAGGAAAATTCACAGCCAGTTGATAGGGTGGTGTTTCTTGTTCCCATTCTGGAAAAAGTGATTGAGTATCACGATGTAAATCTTGATATTCAGAACCAAGACATGGAGTATCGGTGGCTAATTGACAAAATACTCCATCTGCACCAACTAATTCAGAAACAATTGCCATAATTATATCATTATCAATAATTGATATATCAGTCCATGGAGCTCGAAAGGGTGGAGTAACATAATAACGACTTGGCCCACGGTTTCCTGCGCCATTTTCGGCGCGTTCAGTTTCCGCTAGAAGAGGTTGAAAAACTCGATTGAGTTCATCAATTTTCTCGACTGGAATAACATTTTCAATAAGAGTCGATCCAGTTCGACGAACTTCATCGGCTCGTTCTATAATCCATGCTCTGTCGAGTGCGCGCTTGTCTTCGGTAGCCATATTTATGATTCTCGTTTATATCGTCGTTTAAAAGTAAAATAAATGATAGCAAAAGCATCTATACTACCTTTCTTATCTATATCACTCATTCTTTAACTAGAACACGTGTGTTGCAAAATCGTATCTTAGTTGTCTCTTAGTTTATGTGAATATAACCGAGTGATTCTGTGCGAACGAGTGTTGATATAAATACTCATCTGAAACTCTCAGTCAGTTTTATGATAATGTACTGTTGATTAAATTGAAAGAGATTGAATGGATATTTTATTTTTAAAAAAATCTTACTTATACAGCTTTTATTATAATTGATCAAGATAAGACTTTTCTTCGTTCTGTAATATGGTGTTACGATTTATTTGCACAGTCATTAGAGTTGTTTTTCATATCTAATATATCATTTGTAATTAAAATTACCTAAATTTTACTTCATTTTGTGTAGAAAAGGTATATGTGCTATATCAATGATTGTCTATTGGACAACATTCGTAATAAACAAAACCAAAGCTCTTGCTACACATTTGAATCATTGGAGTATATAAATGCAGTCTTTTTTAGTTTACGTCTACTTTGTGTTCAAATTTGCGTGCTTCAATAATGTCATTCGATCATGAATTAAAGCAAAACGTTCATATTATCAAAATAAAGATTGCGATGTGAGAAAACGATCTTACCAAGGGTAACACATTTTCCGTTTGGAATACTGCTTCCATCTATCTATTTACAATAGAATGGATTGTGTATGAGAATAGTTTCTATATGACTCTTAGACACGTATTATATTTAGAGATTTGTACGATCATTTTTATTACCGATCTATATTTGTGCTGTGATATATTTATTTCTTTGTTGAACTTGTCATACAATTTTTCTAATGCAAATTCATTTACTTTATTATTCTTGTCCGTAGATGATTTAATAGAATAATAAGTGTAGTTATCTGCCATTTTAAATATAATAATTGTAAACGGTAGAATAAGCAGGAATGAATGCATAACAATATTTTACAAAACTACTTGATTGTAAGAGATATGCTTGCATTGTTTGTAGATTCTGTCGCGGTTGATATTAGTGTTCTGGTGAAATACATGAGTATTATACAAAGGGTAACGATACGACCTGCATTGTTGGCAGTTATGATAATACTGATGATCTTGATGAAGGACCTACTTGTGTAGATCATGATAATGGTTATTATTATGTACATTATCATGTTGATCGGGTGGGGGTGTGGGTTTAACTATGATCTTTGGTTGTCCCATACCGTTATCCATCCACACCTACCCTTTTTACGATTTCCGACCGAAACGATACACTGGATGGACTTCAATTTGTTGCTAAAAAAATTAAGTACTTTCAAAAGATTTGATATTCCTATGACTAAAGGTACAAAAGATGAAGACTATTTATTAAAAACAATTCCAAAATGGATGGAGAATTATATATTTTGATGATAAACACTATATGAGTGATGAAGTAAATAAAGCATCTGCAACCAGTATCTATCATTACGTTGTAGTAATTCAAATATTTCATCAAAAGAAAAGAATGTTGAAGTTGATACTCAAGCTGCTCAAATAGTATCTTTATCGCGTTGAGATTATTTCGCTTTAGTGTCATTAGATGACACTAATTCTATGTAATTCAATAATTTCATCTGACAAAATGTTTTTTCTTATATAAACACATCAAATTAAAATTAAAATGATCATTGATAGTTATAAAACTCAGTATAATAAGAGTAGAAAAGATTCAAGTGTTATATTACCATACAATCCTAAATTGAGAACACCGGCAGTGGATGATGTTTTAGCTAGTATATATCTATCTGTTAATCCAACTATATCAACTTCTATATCACTTTTTATAACTGAATATGATTTTACACGAGAAAATCAGATCATTAGTCGAGCAGTTCATTCTTTTATAAGATATAAAATATTTGATCCATATACAATAATAGCTCAGATTCGTTCTACTATTTTAGAATCGATTGACAAATAAGGATTAGTAGTTACAAGCATCGCTCATTATTAACTATTTCAACTTTATTCACTGTGAGGATGTTATGTCTGATGGTTTAGATATAACTATGAATATTGTTTCTTTTTTATGAACAGCTATTCTCATTCACGCCCATACCCTCAAGAGCTCATAATAGAGAGTTTTACGAGAGTTATCCTAATATTAAGAGTCAAAAATTAAGTGCTCGTATTTCCAAGATTTTTCTCGCAATTTTAATAATATCGATCTCAGGATAGCGTCAAAATGTACAGAACACTTGTCGCTACAACTTAAAAAAGCCGGTTCCTTGCTCACCTATCAATTGTACGGGAAAAAAATTATTGCAATTCAATTTCAAATAGAGTGGAAAAAAAGAAGTTTCTTTGTTCAAAAACCTTACAAAGGGATCACGTCTGATCAAGTACATAATTTTACTACATATGCATACGTATGTATCATGAAACCTTTCCTAAGTTATTTTAGAAGGTGCCCAAAAACTCGAGGTCTCTAGACGTAAATTAGATTCTCGAGATCTATGCTAATCTTGGAACGAAAACTAAGGTAATATTTAGAATCAGCTCACTGAGCGACATTCGATCATATTTTAAAAGATTCGTTTTTGTGAAAGTTCATTTTTAAACATTCGTATTATCCTTTCACGAAAAAGTGAAGTGGTATTTAGAATCAGTACATCGAATTACATGAAGTGATATGTTGTATCTCAACATATTTCTCAACAAGAAAGTTTTCGAAAAACATTTTCATATTTTTGAAAACAATTTTCTGTGTAGTATACTGTCGTTTTTAGTCAAATGAAAGTTATTTCTAAAGAAAAACAATCGCAGATCCATCTGTTTATGCGCAAGTCTTTCACTTTACGATGTTTTCGATTTACAGAGAGTCTCCTATGCTCATGTACTGTTTCTCTTTTAATATAGAACTTGATAGTTAATGTAAGCTTCACATTTTTAGTCTACAAGGGGTGCCGCTGATAACCTATTTCTATTTTTCTATGTCACTATACGTAAGACAAATTTAACGCCGCATCATATTTTTCAGTATAATTGTGACAAAGCATATTAAAGATATGAATTTTGCATCCTCACCGCATGTAAGTTGTGCTGATAAGCTTTTTCTCAAGGCGAGTATATATATTCACTTGCGCTCTGCAGGTAACATTATTCTAAATATTTTTCTCGTTCCTTATACCATCTACTAACTGCGTATCTACTACTTATGGCTCGTTTATCAAACTTATTATTGGTTGTGTTGGCTGCTGCAACGATCTTTTGTGTTTCAGCAGATGTTTTATCATATACTGCTACTTTTGTTCAATGTGTTTCGAATGCAAGTTGTCCTCAAGGAAATCCAGGACGCTTCAATCGTACTTTCGCTTTGAATGATATCGTTAGCCCAAACTTATATTTAATGGTTGGTGATCAATTAGAATTTAAATTAGCCGTAAATGTTTCGATTCATCCGTTAACAATCTGCCAAAACAGTCCATTACCCAAATTCTGTCAAGGATCCAATGGTACTGATGTACTCAATGTTCCAATTACTGTAGCAGGTCAAACTACTTCTACTACTTTCACTACTGCTGGTACTTATTATTATGGATGTAATTACCATCCTGGCATGGGTGCTACGATCACAGTATTCCCAAATAGTGTTGACAGTTCCTCAAGCAACCGTCATTCAAAGCGAGCAGTAGCTGCACGTTTTGGTGCTAGACATCAATAATTTGCATCATTCTTGCTCATTACTATAATTACTTTACTTCCAATTATTTTCATGTAAAGTCGATAATTTTCTCATCGACTAATGGTTTTTCTATTTAATATTCTGTAGCTCTTGATTTCTCTTTTTAATAAAGTACATATATACTTTATTTCATGAATAAGACCGGATCAGTTGACCGGTATGATTAATTCTTCAATTTTTTTAAATTCTATACTAAGGTGGATGTGAGTATTGATCTGAGTGAGTAAGTAAGATTAAAAGAAACAAAAAAAGATAAATTCTGTTGAATCAGTTCATCTATTCACGATGCATGCCCTTCATTTTGAGAAAAATATATTCACAGTGGATATATTTCAACAACAAGCACAAACTATTTCTAAATTGACAATAATGAAATCGGCACAAGAATCGAGTGTGGGTGTGAGTGATAGTGTGGATACGGCTTCAGGGTAATTATACTATTATCACTCACACCCTTTTTTACAATTGTATTGTCGATTCTTTTTTCGGGCCAACTTTTGATTAAGAAAAAAAACTAAATATACATATACAAATGTTGTCTTTGTTTTATTAAAACGTAGAAAATTCCAAAAATAATATAATATACATAGAGAAGAGTTCTTAGTTTTTTTTATTAATGTCCATTTTGATGATGTTTTTTAATGAGATTTGACATCTCAAGCATTCCTTCAAGTAAACCATCACCAGTTACTGCACATGCTGGTTGAATAAACCATTTATGTTTACCACCTAGTGTATTCAAACCTAATTTTTGAGCAATGTCTGAAGTTTTCATAGCATCTATACAAAGAAAATTTTAGACAAAAAAAAAACATGAGAAAAATATTTGAATTTACTAGGCAAATCTTGTTTGTTAGCTAAAACAACAAGTGGCACACTAGACATATCAGGTGCTGAGAGAATACCATGAAGTTCTTCTCGAGCTTCATCAATTCGTTCTTGATCGTTACTATCAATAACGAATATTAAACCATCGGTATTTGAATAGTAATGTCGCCAAAGGCGACGAATATTTTCTTGACCACCAACCTAATTAAAGAAAAGAAATGTAAATATAAAGTTAAATCGAGATTTCACTAGTTAATACATACATCCCAAACTTCAAATGAAACACCACGACATGGACTAACTCGTTCAACATTAAAACCTATCAAAATAAATAGGTAAATACGATAAAGATATCTAGTTAATATATATATATATACCAATCGTAGGAAGAGTTTCAAGATTCTCATTAAGTTTAACCTTATAGAGAATTGTTGTTTTACCAGCTGCATCAAGACCGAGCATTAGAATTCGTGATGATGGACCAGTATTGAATGACTCGTACATTTCATACAAACGACTGACAAAAGGACCCAGTTTTTTGTAATAATATTAGGTATGAAGTAATTGAAGAATGTTTTCGAATAATACATTATAAACGCGCGGTATTTAACGAAAGTTTAATTATTGCCACGTCGTTTAAGACACGTGAACAGCGTTGTAAACGGAAGAAAATTATTTCAATGACTCAGTTAACTGTAGAAACGATGTATATTGTCTCACGTAAGCAACGTGTCGCAATTCTGTGATTCATCATTATTATGTTGAAATTACATGTGGAAGAAATGAAAAGAAAACCAATAACATGATTCAATACACCGACGTATTCCATTTGCTTGTGAAATAATCGTTTTTCTTCATTTCAAAAAAAAAGTTTTGGTCATAGCATTGTTTACATAAAACTAAAGTTTAGGACATGAGCAAACATCTTACGTACTTGCTTAACAATGATTCATTCAAACTATGCCTTGTTTTTATGCTTAATAAATAATACGAGAGCGAAACTTTGTCCCTAGTAATCGTACACATCATTATTATATTTAGACAGTATTCAAAACATTTTGTTGAGTTTAAAGGTTTTCTCAATAGATAAGCAAGAGTTGAATGAATTTTGTACTATAGTTGATGATATATAGTTTATTTACATAATAAAAAAGCACTTGCTGCTGTCCTTTTCTCACTGAGAATTGGCTGAACATTTGAAAGTGATCTTTTGAATTTGAAGAAAATATTTTTATATGTAACTTTTATATATGTTTTATTTAAATATCATTATATACACAAAAAAAAGAAGATGAGAATAAATTTTAGTTATGAGTAAGTTTTCGATTTTCTTTTATCATATTTGATAATTGTTGCATTGCTTCAACAAGACCCTCGCCATTAACAGCACATGCCGATTGAATATACCAACGTCGTCTTGAAATTGAATATAAACTAAGATGTTCAATAAGTTCACTTGGTTTAATAGCTGTTGGTAAATCAGATTTATTTGCAATGATGACGAATGGTACCGATGACATACTTTCATCGGTAACAATACTAAAAAGTTCATTACGTGCTTCTTTAAATCGATCATGATCTGATGAATCAACAACAAAAAGAAGTCCATCTGTATTCTCAAAATAATGTCTATATAATGGACGTATTTTATCTTGTCCACCAATATCCCAAACTGTAAATGAAATTCCCGGAGCAGGTGTTACTGTTTCAACATTAAAACCTAGATAATAAAAATAAGAAACAAGAAATAAAGACTAGTTTATTATTTACCAATCGTTGGAATAGTTTGAACAGTTTCATTAAGTTTTACTTTATATAAAATAGTTGTTTTTCCAGCTGCATCAAGACCAAGCATAAGAATACGAGAAGGTGTATCACTCGAAAATGCAGTTAATGCTTCATATAATCGACTGATAAGATTACCCATTGCTTTTGTAAAAACTTTGTGTTTCAAATAAAATCCAAATCACATATATAGTTGAAGAAATCTATTCAACGTGGACATAATGACTAACGTGTTCTCTTTCTTGCATTCCTATGATGACGTGGATGTGTATTGAGCAATAACATGAAAGCGTAATTAAAATTTTATAATCAAATTTTGTTCATATTTGGAATAATTTTAGATGAACGGGAGTAGTAGAACATGTTGGCTTTTAGTAGTAGCAGATGGTCACGGTGTTGCTTTCGTTGGATATTGTGTGTAGTTTGATTGAAAAAGACGACGTGCACCGGATTTTCATGAAAAATTAAAAGCTAGTTAGTATTATTCTAGTTTTTGTTTCTAAAATAAGTAATCTAAGAAAAATATCCTCTCTTTGAGCAGAGTTGCTAAAAATAAATTTAAAGAGTGGGTATGAATGCAAGTGCCAGTTAAATACAGTATCCATATCCACACCAACACTTATCTACTGCCACACCCTCTAGCCTTACGAGTGAAGATGGCGTGAATTAGATATAACTATGATAATAGGAATTGTTTTCAGTTTATTCATGAAGGCAATAATACAATCACAGATTAGTTTCAAAATTTTGTTGTACGTATTACAATTGCAGAAAAGAAAATACATGCGTTTTGAGAAATGTTTAAAACTAAAAGTGTTATTATCTTATAGATCTAAGTTATCTTTTTTCTGCTTTGTTTTTGTGTCAAACTGCATCACTATGTCATCATCATATAAGACGTCATTATCAACTTCAATTCCGAGGTGATCTTGAATTCGTCGAGTAAAACCGGAAACAATAGCAGTATTAATTCCATTTTCTCGATTTCGTATCGTTCTCGACAGCACTGGCAATCCTTTCAGTGATTGCAGATCTTTAACGACAAGTAATTTCATTTGATAATATCCATCTATGTCTGGTCCAGGCTTTTCTCCATAATTAACAAGTGAAACATGCCCGTCATCCTCCGTATCTGTTCTACCAAATACATATGTCGGCGTGCCACCTTTAGATTGACTTTTTTCTAAATGATAGTATGCAACGACTTTCATTTTTTCGAAATCTTCAGAATTTAGATACTCCAATGGTGGTGTTGATTCGTAGACTGTCCATTCATATAGTTTCATTATATCATCTGAATTTTTATAAAACTGAACTTCAGAATAAAATTCTGTTGCGGTAACCAAATATTCAGCATTCCGTTCCCTAGATGTGACTGCAAACATATCACGAAGAAAACCTCGCTCACTATCCTGAGGCTTCAATGGTAGTTGTTTTAATTTTCGACTGATTTCGTTAGATTTCAAACGATATAATGCAATCTGTGCCACATCTGTATTATATTCATGAGTGCTAGATGCAGCTTTCAATTCATCTGGTAAAATCACCGATCCACATAGAAGTGCTTTCGAGCAGAGTGCAAGCAAGTCTGGTGATAGAATCGAATTAGAAGCAATGACGTCATCGAGTTCATCTAAAATAGGATCAATATCAATGAACAAATCAGTGATGTCGCTTGTTGTGTAGCGAAAACCCGAACTAGAAGAAAAAGAAAAGTGAAAATGAATCATTTTAATATATTTTGTCAACAAATCTTTACGATGTGAGTATGATAAGAATGAAGAGAAGCATGGGTTGTGCTTGTTCGTTGTGTTATTGTTTTTCTATTAATAAAGAAATATGTAAAAAAAAGATTTATATACTTTGATGGATATATGTATAGTGTCTCTTCTATTTGGTTCTGTCACAAATCTGGAAAAAGTCATTCTCATTTTAATATTTTCCTACTGGGGAAACAAAACAAAATATCTATAACTGATACAATGATCCGTACAACTAGATCAGATAAAAGGAATTAAGTTCCTTGACGGAATTCAGATAACTGATAAGAGAAATTATAGAGATCTTGAAAATGTGTTTTGAGACAGTTTCATACAGCATCTATCTTATCAAATGAAAGGACTGTCTCTATCTCTAGCTTATCAAAAACAATTCTGAATATATTCTCAAATAGTCACTTTATAAGTACATAACTGAGCTTGGAAAAAACCAACGTATTTCGAAAGAAAGATGAATCACATGAAAGATAAGAACGATTACGAATACTTGAAAATGACGGCAAGGGAAAAAGAAGAAAAAAAACCGGTGTGGTGTGTATGTGTTGACATGATTGTGCAATGGTGCTAGGTGAAAACAGTCTCCGCACCCACACCCACCTCACCCATACCCTGGTTAACCGTAGTGAATAATTTAATTATATATGGAATTATCAATCGTAAAGCAATGATTGAACCACCATATTTAGCTAAAAGTCATGTAAGTATATAAATAAAACCATGATATTCAATCATTGTAGGGTGTGGGTGTG